AAGAGAGAGTTTTCTGGGAGAAAAAACACACAGATATAATTTGCTGGCAAAAAAAATTATAGCTTGGTTTGTGTGTCCTAATCTGCACTGCATACTACACTGCTAAAGCCTTAACTAGGAGACTGTGCTCCAGAGGCTGCTGGTTCAACACACGTTACACCAGCTAAGCCACGGTGAGTCGCACAGCGAGGCCGTGGAGTGCACCTGCAGCACCAGGAGGCTCAGCTACAGCGAAGAGATTCTAAAGAGTAGCAGAAGAAAAATATTAACCCAAAAAATGGTAACACACACTTCTTCCTAGATGACTCAGTTCTGCCAAATGCAGGTAGCTGGATTTTGATTTAGTGATGTGCTGGGTTGATTTATTCATCAGGTTTACGGTCCAGCACATTGCAGTTCCCATATTTAACACTGTAGCACAGAATTTTCATAGATGATGGTGACACAGGTAAGACTACTACTAAAGGGAAGAAAAGCTGAGAAAAGCTTGGTGAACAGCAGCAAATACTGCTATTAACTGGGGTTTTTGACAGTCCTATAAGAAATGCAAGTTTATCTGTACAGACATAGTACAAAGGACACAAGAAAGCAGTGTTTGTTTGTTTGTTTGTTTTTTAAATGTGAGAGTCATTATAAACAAACAAAATCCAGACACTATTTTAAGCAGCTTTGCATAAGCATATTATGATCCTTGGTTTAGTTTGTGCATGAGAGGTTTAAGGTCACTGTTCCAACAGATCCTGAACTACAGGATGTCTTGCATTGTTTCCAAATAGTTTGGGTTACAGCAAAACAAGAGAACAGAACAAATTGTTACTAGCAAGAACTGGCTGGAACAAGCTATGACAATTTAAGAACTTCCCAGCTGAAAAAAAGAACTGATTACAAAAGAAAAGCAATGCCCCTACTGTTATCACCCTGCCAGTGTAGGGTTTTTTTCTAGAAGAAAGCATGAATACTGCCATGGCTACGATCCACAAAACTTCATCTCGTGAGCCAACAAGGCTGCTGTTTTGCAGAACTCAAAATAGCAGGCTTGGCTTCTCTGTTAGAGGGGAGGAAAAAAAAAAAAAGTTAATTTTTTTTCTTCAGACGCCTGCAACTTACGGATCTGATTCTTTCCTTTTACTTCCAACAATGTGCACTGAACCAAAATATTTCTTATTTGGTACACCTGGACACTGGCTTAATGAGAAACAGGACAGGGAAGGTAAAGAAGAATGCAGCATATTATTCCATGTCTTCAAAATGGCTGTCATGTACCTACACGTACTTGCTCCACCTGAACTCCGCACCTACCTCTCTCTGCTTAGACTGTCATCACTGGAGGCTTTACAGAGAGAAGGTATGGTCTAACATTGTGCATTTCACAGTGATTCAGTACCACATGTTGCACTTCAGAAGTATCTGAAATCCCAGAGAGGTTCATTACTGCCTGCCTTAACATACTTTGTTTCCAGGATGAATGCACACACAGAGAGCTCCTGATGACCCACAGACTATTTATGGTGATTCCCTATTAAGCTATTTCTAGCTGTAACACATGCCACTACTGCTTTTGGGGCCCCCTTGGGGGCTGCTGATAAGAAATCCAGATGCTTTCCACAGAGTCCAATAAATAGTGATTTACCTAAGCTGACTGCGTGTACTTGGCATTTGCATCCTTACACTCTACGCCACAAAAAGCACCACAGAGAGCACCAGGAACGTAACGTGGACATGGTTACAAGGCTGTGCAGAGGCAGTCCAAGAGTTTCATACAGGTAACGCTGAGCTGGATCTAGTATGTGAAAAAGACTGGATCCTATTCCTGCTTGACTACTTGTGCATTCACAGTGTAACAGCATCTTACCAGAGTGTTCAGCACTGGCACAACAAACCACAAACATGGAGCAAGCCCAAGGCTGGTATCACCCTTGACAAGCCCTACCCACCCCAGAAGTCTCAGGCTCATATCATGCATACTCTAGTTTCGCTGCAAGTGCCAGGTTTGGAACAGCAGGTGGTACCAGGTACAGTTCAGCACCAGCCATGGCTGCTCCAGTCTGGTTGCAGGTGCGCTCTGCTCCAGGGTGTGAGGAATGCGATCACCTGCGCCTGCAGTACACGGGGTTTTCCCATTAGGTCAGGTACCCCCATCTGCATACCTGCCTCATCTTAAACAACAAAAAGCTTTGACTGAAAAAGAAAAATCCCCATCATTAGTATGAAAAGAGAACCAGGAATTTTCACTACAGGGCAAAATACAAGCAAAAATGGCATTTCAGTTGCTGCAATTTTAACTTTGCTTATTTAAAAGAAGATGTAACATTCCCAGTTAATATACTGTAGACAGCTTATTTCCTCATCTCTGAACACAAGGTAGGATGTTCTGCATTGCAAAAGCACAAGGTAAGAACAAACACCTATGGCTCTCAGAACCACCACCATTGTTACACAATCACATACAAACTCCAAAATTTAGAATTAAAGGTGTTGCAGGAAGTTTTAATACTAAATAGTAGGCAAATGTGCTCTAGTCATATGGTTCCCCCGCTGTCATCTTCCTTTTAATTTGTTTTGTTCAAGAAGTCACTAGTGAAGTTTTATATACATAATTAAAGCTGATCAAGAACGAAGTATCAGTGGATTATATTTTATGGCAGAGTAAATGATGACTTGTCTACTCAAATTCAGGTTGTTACACAACTGGAGTATTGGGAAGAAAGGTCCCAGGAAGTTTCAGAAATTCACCTATCACTTGGAATGACACAGACCTTTCCAAATGTGCCATTTGTATTTGTTCTGCCAGTTGTTGCCCAAAACCACACACAATTCTCAGATAACCAACCCAAAACCAGAAGCGAGGGTGGCTTCATGTTATGATCTGTACTACACTGACAAGAGGGAAGCTGAAACTGGAGGCAGTAATGGAAAGTCAGGAAGCTTTGTAAAGCCAACAATTCACAGTACATTCGAATCTCCTCAACTCATTTATCACATAAGGTCAGCATTATCTTTTATTAAAACCACCAAACACAGAATTTTATCTCCTTTACTGCAATGAGATTGAAGAATACACATTGAAGGGGCTTTAACTGTGAAGTGAAAAAAAAAAATTAAGCAATCCCAGTTTCTGATGACTTTTGACACCTTCCTCAAAGGTCTCAAAAAAATCAAAGCGAAGTTTGGAGTAATTAAAGTCAATATAGCAATAGCACGGCAGAAGAATGAAGGTAACAAGCTAAGTTGTATTAGCTTGGCATTCTTCCAAGAAGACAACCACATCTACCCAACAGCCAAAAATGCCTGGTCATCTTCCCTTTCGCCTCAGTGTCTCCTCACAACTTCATCATCTCCCTTTTTGCTGCTGGGGTTGAAACCTCCTCAATTACAGCAAAACAAAACCGCATTTTTCTTCACCTTGACTCAAGATTTTGTAGTCTCTCTTTTCTCCTAACCCAGAACCTTTGAAGGAGCAAGGGGAATTGCTTCCCAGCAACATTCTTGTTGAGGGACTTTTGTCTATTGGCCCTATCCAGCCCCAACATTGTTTCTGGCACTGTCCAAAGTCTCAAAACCAAGAAGTGACAAACAGAAAAAAAATCTCAAAGCATACTGCATATAGAATCTGTTCCCCTAAATGAATGTTAGCTTCAGAGCTGTTTAATTATAGCAAGTTTCCCTTAAATTCACCACCTGCACCCACATAAATAAGTCTAAAGGAATGCACTGGGAATCATGGCTCAAGTTTTTTCCTTCAACTTTTATCCTATATCCTCATACAAACCTGACCAAATATCAAGATCTTTTTAACTTCTCCAAGTTAAACAAGTAATAAGCCTTTCAACATCAGAGCAAGAACGCATGTAGATGTAAGAATTATTTCAAGACACACACACACACCACATAACCCGATATAAAACTGTACTGGGTCTGGCTGAGATGGAGTTAATTTTCCCTGTAGCAGTCCTCAGGGTGCTGTGTTTTGTGTCAGTAGCTAGAAAGGTGTTGATAACCCACCAGTGGTTTGGTTACTGCTGAGCAGTGCTCACACAGCACCAAGGCTGGCTCTTCAACAGAGTAGTAGTCTGGGAGTGGGCAAGATCTTGGGAGAACACATAGCAGCCTTCCAATACCTGAAGGGGCCTACAAGAAAGCTGGGGAAGGACATTTCATAAGAGCAGTTAATGACAAAACAAGGGGAAATGGGTTTAAGCTGAAAGAGGGGAGGTTTAGATTAGACATTAGGAAGAAATTCTTCACTGTGAGGGTGGTCAGACACTGGAACAGGTTGCCCAAGGAAGTTGTGGATGCCCCCTCCCTGGAGGTGTTCAAGGCCAGGCTGGATGAGGCTTTGAGCAACCTGGTCTAGTGGAAGGTGTCCCTGCTGATGGCAGGGGGGTTGGAACTAGATGATCTTTAAGGTCCCTTCCAACCCAAACCATTCTATAGCCAGGACAGCTGACCCAAACTGACCAAAGGGACATTCCATACCATACCACATCTGCTCAGACACAAAGCTAGGAGAACAGAGGGGGAAGAGGAGGTATTTGTAAATATGACATTTATCCTCTGGAGCAACCACTATGTGTTCCCAGGAAGTGGCTGGACATCACCTGCTGATGGGAAGTAGAGAATAAATGTTTAGGTTTTCCTCTGCTTCCGTGCACAGCCCTTGCTTTGTGCTTCTATTAAACTACCTTTATCTTGACCTGTGAGTTCTTTCTTTTTTTTTCCCCCCATCTTATTTTCTCCCCTCCCTGTCCTGCTGAGGAGGGCAATGACAGAATGGCTTGGTGGGCACATGGTGTCCAGCCAAGTTTAACACACCACAAAAACTTTACACTAGGAGCCAAATAGCTCAGATGAAAAAATACAGCACAGAGTATAAAATTTCTCTTAAAATATAACTAAAAGGCAAGCAATCACCACAGAAACATTCAGTAATCAAGCATTTTGATGAGAATTTCATAGAACTGAAATTTTAAAAAATTACCATTAAAAGGAGACACCAAGTATTTCAAAAACCTCTGTTTTATTTGTACAGAGTAAAATACACCATATAGTGAACATTGTTTTCCACCCATAATCTAAAGCCATTAATAAGTGTTTTCTTTTCACCAAATATCCTGGCCAGAAGCACAGACAATGGAAATGGGAATGCTAATTAGTCTCTCTCTGCCAGAGCTACAAGGTGTGCATCAATCTCTGCTTCTGTAAGGATCCTGAAAGAGCAAAAAGAAATCTTTAATAGTTTAAATGATTCTTCCTCTTAAGCTCCAATATTACAACCTAATATCTACACAAATAAGTTTTATACAACACATCTTTCAGCCCTTTAAAGCCCCGCTGCCAGTGCCACAGGCCAACATTCCAATTCTTTTTGAAAAACAAAGGAAGATTCAAAAGCTCTAGAGAGCAAAGAGGTAACAAATGGTAAAAAAAAGAAGAGGTAATTCCTCATGAGTAAGATATTTGCAAGCTGGGACCTGGTGAGAAGAATGGGCATGGTAATTAATTAGTATGATTACTCCATGGGGACACAGGTCTTCATAGCATTCTCCCTCTGCTTGCTACCCATCCTTTCTGAAAAGGACCCAAGACTGGTAAATGAAGTTTAGCAGAACGCTAGCCCTTGACCCTGGAGCAGCAGTACAAAAGGGCTAGTGCAGCTCCTGTGTGCCTTCTCAAAAAAGCTCTGCTATTCAGTTGCCCCAAACACACGCCACCAAATGCAAACCCACCCATCATCACCGCGTCAACTTTAAATACACGAGGCAGCACTCAACAGACTGCACCTGTAGGACCCAAAGGTTTGAAGCCTCTCTCCAATCCCCACCTACCAAGTAGCTACACTAAAGCAGCAGAGGACTTTTCTTTCCCACCTTTCTTTCTTTTTAAATAAAAAAAATCAGAGCAATGAAAAGCTAAGGCAGAAATAACTGAACTCCTCTGCAGCAAGCCAGCCTTAACTAAATTCTAGGTAAGACATACCTAGAGGGTCCTTTTGCATTAACAAAAATGCCCAAACCCTTACTCTCCCACATTTCATGCATACTTCTGCAGCTACACATTGTGTTGTGAGAAGGCTCTCAAGGACACTGCATCTGATGTGAGGTGCAGCCCTCAGCAGGATGGTTTCCAGATGTTGTCTCGATAGGTTGACCAAGTAACCTTGCTGCACACGGTGCACTGCACTCGGGTTCAAGCAGTAACGGGGGAGGGAGGAAATTGCAGGTGTCCTGCATTCTTACTGGGTGGGAATGCAGTGTACCCAGAAAATGAAAGTTCAGCCAGTTCCAAATCACTGCAGTGATTTTAAAATCTTTTAATCTTGTCAAACTTAAATAGAATATTTCAAATCACACAAATATGGAATCTATTAACTATATACTGGAGATGTTAAAAACTGCTACAATTACAAGATAAGCAAGAGCTATTAAAGATCCTATTTAGAAAAGGATTAAAATAATTAATGGACTTGCAAAATTTTCCCTAATATAAAACAGACTTTACTGTGTTAGTTATCATGATTTGGATATCATGATCATGACTATGATTTGGAATTGGACTTCAGATACGAGTACAAAGAAAAAATTGTATTCTTTTAAGCATGAAAAATCATTTAGACCAGATTTAACTACATTTTAATCATCTCATAAAGCAATATCCCTTTAAGAAACAAAATACAACACTTTTCTCTAGAGGATCTCTTAACTATGCCAAATATTTTAGAACTGTGTTATTTTTTTAAACAATATATTTTATCCCTACATGTTTTGAAGAGTTACAAGTAAAAATACCTCCAAAACTTCAACTTTTAACATTTACCTCTTTTTCTCGATTTACAAAAGAAGTTACAACTATTTGCACATAATCAGAGAAACACATCAAGTTTTATCAACACTGATCACCTACCTGAATTTAGGATTTTCCACTGTAACTACACCAACTTCTATTTCTGAAGGTTTGAAATCAATGGATAGTACAGTAGACAGGCATGTTATTGCTGTCTGAAAGATGACAAAAAAACCCTATCAGTAAACAGAAAGCACTAGGGCACTTTTTTTTTTTTTTTTTTTTTAAAGACACAGCATTAACAACTACCCTTCCTTCTAGTTTTAAGTTACTTCCTTCCACCTCAAAACCTCAGCTGAAAAGTTTCCAGTAGGTTCCCTTTGTTACAGAATACAGTCCCTCTCTGGTCCTCTCCCTAAAAAGCCCAATCTACAAGAACCAAAGGGACACGTCATTTTTGTAGCAGAAAAAACCCACAACAAAACCAAAACCTTTTATCATGCAAAGATTAAAACCCCAGGTCCCAAGGACAGAACATGTTTCATTAGTGGAAAACAAGAGACATCATCATTACAGTCCAAGATTACTCAAAGCACATGTCACTTGTGTAGCTTCCATTTTGGCTTTTCTTCTGGTAATTAAGATTGTTGGCTGTTTTTAAAAGATGCATTTCATCATGGCCTAACTTATTTTTTCCACTCTAATCATCATCTGTTTTAAAAGGTATTCTTTGCAACCTCATGAATTCTTAACTCTGCAGTAGGGCCATAATAATGCGAAAGAGACATTCCTAAAATTATTATCAAACACAAAAAGAAGTTCCATAAAACAGCTACGTAGCCAGCTGGTTATAAATCAGTTATTCTGACGTGCTGGCACTTAATTATGATCAGTAACGCATCAAAAAGTATGGAACATCAGACAAGACTTTCCTAAACTTTATTTTCAATATGTTGATAATACACTGATTCTGCAATAATTCTGTAAGACTATATAGATGTCTTATTTCCTCTAACGCACCATAAGCTTTTAAAAACACCCCAGGCAGTGTGTGTGTGTGTGTGTAGAACATTACAAAAATGTGATTCTTGTTTTTGCTTGACAGACTCGCCTCTCCCTGTCACTGCTGACTTTTAAAGTAACAGCATCTGATCTAGATTCATAATCTCAGCATTTTTACAAAGACAACAAAGGTATAGAGGCGCATCCAGGCTTTGATTGGCAGGTTAATTACCAATTAAGTATTTGCACCTTATCATGGAAGTTTTACTAATGAAAACCAAGAATACGAAAAGACTGTTTCATCTACCTTCAACTGCTCAACTAGAGACGTGCACAGTATAATCAAGCAGTGACAGAGAAATATATTTAATGTGAAAAATATTTATCCAGGATAAAAAAAAGGATCTCTGAGGGAACTTCAAATAGATTCAATCTCAGTATGCTATGATTATTTAACTCTCTCAAGATCATCTCTTTAAAGAACTCACACATTAAGGAAATCAGCACTTATTAAGATAAACATATAAAACTTATGAATTTATGCTGAAGAACATTCTGTGTAAATGGTACTTTCTCAGTAATGCAGACTTCAGAAGTAACTCAGCTGAAGGGCTGAATCTGCCTAGTATTCACAGGGATCTGAATGCAGTACTCTGTTTAAATCTTACAGGGGAGTCAGTTCCTTAGGTTATTAATCCTCATTCCACCTGCTGATCTTGTGATGCAGGAAACAATATTATGAGAGAAGAAACAATGCCTGGGAGGAGAAACAGGTGGGCATGGAAGATGACTGTTTAGACAGATCTCTACAGTGTAAGTGAAAAAGTAAGGCTCCTTACAAAAGAAGTTAATTGACCTATTTTATAAGTAGGACACATTTTTATAATGGGCCTTGAACAACAGTTTTCCCAGTAGGCGTAACAACTGGTGTTATATTTACTAACCTTTCCTGTCCTGTTTGAAATGCTTTCTAACATGAAGATTGTTTTAAGTGCCACTAAAAGATAATTGCACTGGTATCCCCAGAATCAAGCACTGTAGTAACTAACCACCAGCTACACTGGGAGTGCTACAATTATAGATTCTGCTTCAGCTTCAGCTAATGTAAAGCAGAAAAAGCAGACTGGAGGACTATTTAAACACTTACAAAATACCTTCAAAAGATTTTCTGGCTGGAATAGCTATACTTGTTCTGGCAGGAATACAGAACTGTAAGAAAACAGGAAATGCCTAACTGCATTCCTCTATATCATAAGCCTACATACACCACATTCATTAAAAATACTTTAACAAATTTTTATTTCCTTCTGCTGGCCTACCTCTACTGTTTGTTCATATGTCCAGTCAAATTTCTTCTTTACTTTCTTTTCAAGAAAACTGGTTGACTCTGTCTGTTTAACTCCTGCAGCTGTGGCCTTGAAGCCACAATAGTAACCTGCTGGATCACACTTGTATACTTGAGGGCCGTGTTCTTCATCAATACCAATCAAGATCATACCTTGAAGAGAAAAATGGTTAATTTATTTCTTTCTCCAATTCTAGCAATTTCATTCAACTGAAGAATAGAACAGATACTCCTCTCCTGTGAAACGTGCTTACCCAGTACAGCTTTGGGAACCAGTCCAATACCTACAGCTGTGATTTCCCCTTTATCTCTAACTTGCCATTTCTTACCAGCATCTCATTACCAGGTGCACAACTCAGTTTAGGGCAAACTAGATTTCTGTCATTCCCAAATAAGGCTACTGATTAAACATAGAAACATTTTTGCCATGCTCAGTGTGTGGGGAACCACAAAGCCATGACATACAAAAGTTTAATCCTGATATGAAGTTAAACCAGCCACAGGTCACATCCTGTGTGTTGTATGACTCTTTGAAAATGTAAACAGTACTTCTATTAACACGTGCCCTTTACCAGAGACCAACTTTACAGATATGTTGAAATTAATGGAAATATTAAAAGATCATTTTTAGATTTCTTGACTGTAATCCTGAAAAGCACTGCATTTTTCCTCTTTCCTTTAAAGGAAAAAAAAATAAATCTGAAATGGAATTTGGAAATGTCTGAACACAAAATTGAGTCTTTGAAGACCATTTGACTAAATGCTTTCAACTTGGACAGACTCCAAGTAACACAAACTGGTCACATCACTGAAATGCATCTGTGCTCAGCCACACTTCCAGATTTACAGTTGTACAGTCTTAATATGCATATTAAAAATAACTTGAAAGCAACAGTTGCAAAAAAACCCAAACCAGAATAAGGTCAAGGTTTTAAATTATTTTTGCTATACTCTTGTGTAACTTTAACTAGTAGTTATAGCTGAAAAGCTTCTGAGCAACTACTACAACAACAGGAAAAAAATTCCATCATCTTTTCAAAAAAAGGTTAAATAAAGTTAAGAAAAACACATTTTTATTAATGTACAAAAAATAACTCATAGCAAGGGAAGAAAGAAACAATCATTCCTGAACATTACAAGCATAGGAAAATTGCCCCATCATGGAAACTGTGGTGCAACCCTGAATGTTAGTACTTTAGTGAGAAATGCTAGTGCCTACTATGATTACGAGAAGTGATTCATCAATTCTGAAACTATTCTTCTCAAGAGAAAAAAAACAACCACCACCAAACAAAAAGAAACTCAGATAGAAAGTTTAATGAAAAGGTAATTGAGGAAATATTAAGTCTTATCTCAGTTCCCGGACAGCCTACCAGTATAGTTATAATTTGCTCACAGCCTAATGCAAGAAAAAACTAAGTCAGAACCAACCTCAGAACACACAGAGGACCAGGAATATCTAAAAACAACAACTTTAGACACATCTTTTTTTCTTTAAGCTGCATTTGATGTTATAAAACAAGACTGGAGTAGAAATGGTTGCAAGTGAAATATTTTTAAGCACTTCTCTACATTATATATGTCATGGTTAAGAACAAAATTTGTGCAGCTTTTTGCCCTATACATACTCCTTAGATAAAAAAGCCACAAAATCTGCACAATCATAACTGCACTCTCCTTATGTCTGTTTTAACAGTGATATTTACCCAAACACCGGTAAAAAGAGCATCTCCCATTCCCAGACAACACTGTGCAGTACAAACAGACGATGCCCCAAAAACTAAGGTGAAATAGGATCACATGTTTTGAAGAGGCTAAATCATTTATTCTAATTTAAATGCTGAGTCAATGGTAAAATTATGGCTCCAATTCAAGACTTCCAACACTGCTCTCTCATTCGGCTGTTCATCCCTCTTACTCCTTCAGTTACATCCGTGTCTTGCACAATTTGAAAACAGGTGAGAATTTCTTACACTTGAAGTTGCAAGCTCAGACAAGAAACAGAAAAGATAAATTCCCTACATGATACTTACAGCAACCAAGAGGCCTCATTTCAGCATTTTGTGTATAGACCTGAGAAATATCTGCAATCCTTTTACACAGCATGTCCACAGGGATCTCATAGCCATACTTGTACTTCCAGTTAGCAGCTTCGTAGCGGGCCCTCTGCACCTGGGACCTGCTGTCAGCTAGACAGAAAGAACTAATATTAATTTCACTGAACATGTACCAAGTTTATTCCTAGCACTGCTTCAGAGTGCAAATTCCAGGATCAACTTTAAGTTGTCTTTAAATATACACATCAGAACTAGACAAGTTCTCCAAAATCAGACTGAGTGGAAAAAATCTCCTAGAGCATTTATTTGTTTTATGTGATGCAAAGTTAGGGAACAACGTACAAAATCTGACACACTTCAGATACTTAAAAAAAAAAAAAAGGGTGAATGAAATACCTGTCATTCCTGTCATCACACAGCCAATATTTTCAGTGATTTTGAATAAATGAGTCACTGTGTTGGAATCCAGTAACTTGTCCTAAAGAGGAAATAGAAATAATGTAATACAAAACACTGTCCTTCAAATAGAGAAAAATCCACCAGACTCTGAATACTCTGGTATCTACAGAAGAGCCCAAAACAACCAACTAACAGCTAAAAACTGTCCTTCAGGCCCTCCATTATTTACTGCTACAGGCATGTGAAGGAAGGAATAGAAGAATAGGGGAGACAGAAACGGCAATATATGGAAAAGGATGACAGCTAGAGCACGACCAACGTCAAAGTCCTTCTCCCTCTGAGGAAACTCTGCGAACACGCACACAAAACCCTGTGCTCTTACCGCGTGCTGCCCGTCAAACTCGGGGGTTTTCCCCCGTTGTCAACAAGACACCACCACTGTGCGGAAACACTTGGGAAGGTCTGTTCTGCCTACCACTGGTATAGGAGTTTCTGAGCAGGAATCAAAGAAACCAGGAAACTGATCAGGGACACCTCAGCCCGTACAAGCCAGAGTAACACACACATGCTGAAGTGCAGCAGGACCAACTTCATGTTTCAGCTTTACCCCTTCGACGACTACAGAGAAAACCAGCATGACTGTACTGGGTGAGGACACGCACAACTCGGCACTCAGTGGAACTAGAACTTGTAATAAGCAGAATGACAAGAAGATCCTAAATTCAAACAGCAATATCAACACTACGCAGTCTCACCTCCCCCTTTTTTCTCCCCCCCACCCCCCCCAAACCAGAGTACTTACAGGTACTTTCTTCTGTGTTACAATTACTGCAGAATCTTTCCCACGAACAGCTACAGACGTCAGTCCGCCTTGGTTTATAGCCTTAAATGCATATTCTGGAAAAACATGTAAGTGTTAATAAAAAACATTGTTAAACATATTAGAACCATTAACTCTGACACACCTCCCCCCAACACAGGTATCTCACCAAGTTCTGGCCTTTTTAATACTTGTGCAACACTCTGTGTCTTTAAGGTCTCTAGTACAACACACACAGTAACTCTCTGACGGGAATTAAGTCATGGACCCTCTTCACAAAACCACCACCACTACCTTCTCCAAATATTTCTAATAATTTGCCTTTTTGTTCAGTTAGAAAGCTTAACAGCAACAGAATTTGTTTTAAAACAAAAAGGCTGTTCTGCACTTGACCAAAACAGCCCAAATTTAACCTCCAGTACCTGTAAATCCTTACATGAGACTTCTTAACATGCAGGAGTTCAGCATTTCAAGCATTATTACCATTGCAAGGACGCAATCTTCTTATGCAGATTTTAACTGACACAGATGAAAATTAAAGCAATGGACCAGGCACAGAAGATTGGTTTTAACCTTGTTATCACATTTTCTGACTTGACATTCAAGCACTGCACTGCTTTTATTCACTTTTTAAAATGAAGCCTATGCGCGTGCCTACTGAACGGCATCAGTCAGATACATGCCATGGATTAAGGTGATACGAAATACATTTTCCCTGATTAATGGTTTCAAAAGGCTCAAGAACAACACTTTTAAATAGAATTTACCTGGCAATATATGATAAACATTCAGAACTCCCTAATATCTGGTGAGGAGAGGCAAGCTTCAGGCAGTAGCTAAACACAGATGATTTTTTTTGTTAATTACATGAATGAAAATGGAATTTAGAATGTCTAACCACCAGGGCAGCAAATTGCTAAAACTGTCTTCTAGAATAACGGGAGAGAGAAACTCGGCTGTTTTAAAGGCTGCACTCAGATCTGTGGAAGGGACTGCACAACAGGAAAGGAATAATCTGACAGTGAAAAAACAGCTCTTGCAATAGCAGCATCTTGATGTTCAACCTGCTGAGTCAGTGCTGTGGAAGGGCTGCCTGCCAGGTTTTATGGCTCTGTATTTATTACTCTCAGGGATCAGAGCACTTACTGGTTACCCAAACATGCCATAAAGCATGTTCTCCCTTTTCTCTCTGCACAGCTCCGCTCATCTCTTCCCTTGCCTTCCCCAGGATATCAGTGCTAGCCTGCAGCAAAGCACAGAACCCAGGGAGACCCGAGCCAGCACTGCTCCCAAACTGGTCACGTTTGAAGCCCCAGGGCCCTGCTCACCTGTTTATTTCAGTGTGCACACACCTGAAGGAGGGTGCAGAGAGGGTGGACAGAGCTGAGCTCTTTTCAGCGGTGCCCAGTGACAGGACCACAGACTGAAGCACAGGAGGTGCCATGTGAACACCAGGAAACACTTTTGCTGTGAGGGTGACTGAGCAGTGCCACAGGTTGCCCAGAGAGGTTGTAGAGTCTCCAGCCTTGGAGATATTTAAGAGATGCCCTGGGCAACCTGCTTGAGCAGGGGGCTGGACCAGATGACCTCCAGAGGTCCCCTACAACCTCAACCCTTCTGTGATACTTAGGTGGGAAGAGGAACAGGTGCCCTCACAACTAGTTTTGCTCACAAGTACTGACAGCCAGGCTTGCTGAACTGCAGTTCCTCTTGCACTCTTCCTACGACCATCTGATCTGCACTGTTCTGTCTGCAAAGAAACAAGCCAAAACGTGCAGTGGCTCTTACAGTATAACAAATCCAAACTGCTAGTGCTGGTTTAAGTCTGGCTTCTGCTAGGTAAGTATTTCAGTAGTACTGCACACAATCCTTCTGAGGACAGCAGTCCCTCGCTGCTCCCTGAATACATCACAACAGTCAGAAACTGGACCATAATCATTTTCTTCACCTCCCAAAATTCCACTTAGGTGAAACATCACCTTTGAAGACTGGAACTAATAGGTGGCAAGACAACACTGATGCTCTGAGGGATTTTTAACCACAGCAACAAGAAACATACATGAATTAACTGTCACTTTTCTAATATGAGATCACCTTAAAGGCACATGAGCTTTTTGAGCTTTGGAAGCAGAAGACACATTTAAGGCAAAGTACAGGCATTTCAGTCCAATATCACTACGCTGGAAACTTCTGTTCAGGTGCTGCCAAGTTCCAGAAAAACCTCAAGGTCTAAGGCAGCCTTAAAGCAACACTTGTCCATGTCCATCCTGGAGAGCATCTAGTTTGGAGGAGAGAGCAGAGGAGAGAATGCTAGATTTGGGTATTTAACCACAAGTGAAAATGAGACTCTGTCCATGCTGTGGCTGGATGTTGCCCAACAGAGACACTAGTGTGGCACATGCCTGAGTATGGGCAGAGTGAGCTCGTGCTTGTTTGAAGTTAACTATGCACACCTACGTATTTTTCTTCCAACAGCATCTTTAAGACAGCTTCAGGCTGTGTGCAGAGACTCTCAAATACACAGGCAGATACTTGCTCCTAAGACAGAGTCAGGTAAAAGATACGGAGGTCCTGCACATTTCTCACCCACTACCCTAGTGGTTGAATATACCCAGGAGGTAGAAAACCAAGGCTGAGTTTCCTCTTTACTACAGGGTGCAGAAACCATTCCCAACAAGTAGCACTGCAACAGAGAAACAAGTCAGAAAGGTGATGCAGACCAACCAGCCTGTTTTAATGGCAACAGAAGGTCAGAGCCCATGACCCTTCTATCACAGAGCCACTGACACTCTGTGTGAGGAAGTGCTGTCCCTGCCACCCTTCTGTATAAGGCTCCCTACGCAAGTTACATGCAAGCCTTACACACACCCCGGGTGTAAGACAGCGCCCGTATGCAAGTATCTAGCACAGGTAACTTTCTACCTGGGCACAGACACCCACAAGCCGGCACTTTCCTGCTTGGAGAAAAGACTGCTCGAGCCTGGGCCACCTGCTCATGAAGGCTGTTCCACATAAGCTTCTTCCTGAGAAAAACTCAAGGGCAGACAACGACTACCACAGAGAATTCACACAGTCTGGTCCCAGCGATCTCCTTTCCTGGAGAACAGATGGATGTACGGACGCGCCGTGCAACGCATGTGCAGCTGGGGAGGAGCCACTAAGCTCCAGGGAGAGGCGGCATCAGGACAATTAACCTGGCCCTACTGTGAGGGTCCTCCAGAGCACCCTCAATGAACTGTCCTGCCAGACCATGAGCTGACCACGGCGTTACAGGCTGCGGAAGGAGCACCGTGAGGCTCTTCTGCACTGTAAAAATATGAATAAAAGATTCAGTGGTCTACAGAAGATGAAACTAGACTGCAGCTTAACTGCAGAATGTTCACAGAAGCCTGGACACAAAGGATGGTTGCTGCAGTCTCCCAGGCCACGATGCACAGAGTGCACAGCGTGCCGGTGTAACAAGAGAGCATAGGTGACCACCAAGAACTGACCCTGGCACGCAGGGCTTGAGGCAGCTCAAGTCCCGTTTCAAGCAGCTATTGTAAGATTCCAAAGCACAATGCTTGTAAGTCTGGCAAGGTAAACTGAGATAAACGTTTCGGGGGGAATAAAGAGTTTCTGGGTGGCTCTCAGTTTGGTCTCCGAGCAGCTGAAGTCAAACACCGGGACATCACGGGTCACTCCCCGTGGCAGGGCACAGTCGAGAGGGCCGACCCTGGCCCTAAGCTTTCGTTATCCCGTGCGAGGATCCCCTTCCCAGGCCCCTGCGCCGGCACGGCGGGACCGGAGCTGCTCCGGGCTCCCACCAGGCTTCTCCCCGCGCACGGCGGGACCAGGCTGGGCGGGAACCGCGACTCCCCGGCCACGGCAGGCGCCACGCTC